CCCCCCGCTACATACCCCCCATGGCGCACCACCCCCACTGCCAGTGGCAGCAGCAGCAGGCAGAGGGCCCTTGGGGCATTCGTGGCCATGGCAGGCAGAGCCCCCCCAGTGGCGCATGGCTCCAGCTGAGTCCTGGGGGCTGCACATGCTGGCTCACTGGCACATGCCTTTGGACCAAGCCAGGCTGGCTCCGTGCCAGCACAGGGGGCTCACATCACTGCAGGGAGGAACTGTACACCATTGGACTAACCTGGCTCCAGTGGGAAGCTGCACATGGAGGCACAGAGCCCACCCGGCCTGATGGCACGCAACTCCCCAGAGCTCCTAGTCCACTCACCATCAGGCCAGATGTGCTCCATGCCACCATGTGAGGCTTCCTGCTGGAGTGCTGGAAGCCCCACCTGCAGGCACAGAGCCTGCCCGGCCCAATGGTGTGTGGCTCCCACCTGCCGTGCCATGAGCCGCATGTGCTGGCGTGAAGCCAGACTGGTCTGCTTCAAAGGCACGTGCCAGTGTATCATGCCAGGCCAACTCATGCAGCCCTCAGGCCTCAGTGCATAATTTTGAATTTTTCTGAACATAATTCCCTGGGGTGAAATGTAATAATGTAACTATTGTGGATACACACCAGTGAGCTTGCTGTCTTGGGCATGTTTGTTGCTGTGCACCCAGTTTTGCACTAAAAGTTCCACATGATATCCATTTCAGGGTGTAGTGCACACATGGCATAACTGCAGCAGTTCTTAGCATGGTCAGGAGAAAGTGCAGACAAGCTCCTGGAGTTGTATCTGGGAAAACTGATTGTATATTGTATCTTCAAGAAAGCTGTTCTTTGAGATCTACATAACCAAAGGTTTATGGGTACAGATCACTGAGATTCATTTATTTAAGATAAAGATTCCTAGGTTCAGAGTCTAAAGCAGGGTCCATTAAGCTTTGAGTCAACTTTTAGGACAATCTCCATGAAAATTGTATCTGTAACTGTAACAGTAATACTCAATACTGATTCACTTCTGGATAGCAATCTGTACAATTGATACTAACATCTGATAGTAAGATTTGTTTCTATTAAGACAGTATAAAATATACAACATTAATGAACTTATTCTGCAACACTTTGGATCAGGATGCCATATTGTAACATTAATACAGCATCTGTGACACATTTTATTTTCTGTCTAGAAATCTGTATTGTGTAAATATTAACTTTGTTACAGGAATGTTCATTTTAAATCTTAAATAAATCTTAGAGGAAAGCTTCTACTTATATTTATAGTTTCTTAAATGCATGTATGTATATTCTTACATATATATAGAGAGAGAGAGAGAGATCTATATATATAATAGATGTGTGTGTGTGTGTGTGTGGTCTCTCAAACCTCTTTAATAAATGTTATATATAGGTGAACATTTCAGAAAACTAAGAGAAACCCATCTATAAATTAAGCACTAAATAATAGTGCAGTTGTATCCTGGATTAAAAGTAAACTTTTACCTATATAACTTGCATCATATATTTCAATATAAATATATGAAATGTTGAACATATCAGAAAGCAAAATAAATGTTTTACAGATAAAAGATAAAAATTGCATTAATTTAATCTGAAAACCCATATTTATAGCATGCTCCTAACTTTTATAAGGGAGGCAGTATTGGCTTCTTACTTATAAGCAAGTGCAATTTTTAAATGGCTGTGATTTCTGCTTTATCAGAAATATTATCCTAAATAGAATGTTTTAATTTTTACTTTTTATGGGAGGGAAAAACCCTCAGTGTTTAAAAATACACTTTATCTAATTGACTATGACACTGTTTTGCTCTAACAATAATTCACAGATTGTTCTTTAAATAGAGAAATGAAGACTTTTTTTTCTGGTTCAAACTAATGGAAAAAGTTAGGTAAGCAGAAAAAAGCAGAGCCCTGATTCTGGGATCAGCTCACCTTATCTTGCAACAGTATCATGGGATGTACAGTGACTACAGATAAAGGTTAAGCTACAATTTGAAGATGCATGTGAAAAGGGATACTTCAAACAACACAGTGCTCACTGTTACCATCTTTTACCTCACCACACTCCCCCAGATAAGCACTTTGTTTTGGGAAGAGAAAATAAAGAGAAAAAAGATTTTCCAGAGTCATGGCTGAATTCTGACTGCAGGGAATCCAGGTCTGAATCTTGACCATCTGTGCTCAGGCAAAAGTTGATGAGTTAACCCTCTCATAGCCACAGACAAATTGGCAATATAATTTGCCACTGGTTGTGAAAGGATTAACACAGTAGCTCTGACCCTGAAAGGTGAACTCCACCCCTTCCCTCTCTGAAGCTGGTAGGGGAAGAAGAATGGCAGTCATTTTACAGCATCCTGCTTACCTTTATTACAGTTACTGTTAGATGAGTTAGCATACTCAAACCCTGTCCTTCATTTCCTTACTTTAAAGAAATGACCAAAAAATGACATAAAATGACAAAAACCCTTTGTGATTTCATTGGAGATTCCTCTATATAGAACTGAGTCATTCTCAGCTCTCATTCATCAACACTGTAGCCCTCTACCCAACTTCTTCCAAAGGCTCCTAATGCATTGTCCTCCAAAGTCCTGCACACTGAAAAAGAAAGAAAGCACATGACAGTACAAACTGAAGTTGCAGGTCTCTTCTTAGTTTTGAGAGTGTACTGAAGTAGTTGACTTCAACTGCCTTGTACCTGCTCACTCTAGTGAGCAGGTATGTGAATTTGGCCCCCCGACTCCAGTGTTGAACAGTTTAAAAAATAAGTCTAGCCAATGATAATACAATAAAGGAGGTTTTTTTATGTTTGTGTTTGTTTTCAAGTGGTAACATTTCAATCTAAAATTTCAATCTGTAAAACTCCACTTTTTCGTAGTGGATCTATAATGTAAGAGCTGACAATTAACCCAATTTTCTGAAAAAGTTTCTACATACAACTCTTTGTGGCTCTACCAGATAGTATCCTTCATTTACTAACAGATCATATCACTGAAAAAGATTGTGTGTTTGAAGTCATTTTGTATGTAATTACTGAAAAGAATATTTTCTGAAAGTTAAGTTATGTCATATAAATTCAGAAGAAATATACAATAGTTCACCACTTACCTTTGGAGCCATTTTAAAAATGAATGTTTGAGTCACTGAAAGGTCATCCTGTTCTGGAAGAATCCATTCATCTTACGGTAGCCTACTATAAATGTACTAGTAGAAATACTACATATAATTACTGAGGGATAGATGGTACAAACATGATTGATAATATCCATGATTAAT